TTGACTGATGTTCCTCTACTCTGTTTTGCTTGATAATACCAGGTTCGAAAGTGTAGGCAACAGCTGAGAAGATAGTGAGATTCATTATGATGCCCATTCTAGTTGAATATTATCTACTTTTGAAGACCTGTAATGTCTCCAATGTTTTGGTTTTGTTGGTTTCGTTCTTTACTATTTTGTTCAATTTTATTATAACTGATGATATAGGCAATTCTATTAGAGATAGCGGGAGACATTATGGTGACCATTGTTGATCACCTTGTATTATGTTTTTACATTATCTATTATGTCCACCCTTTTGATTTGACCGACTCTGTTCTGTCACATTTGGTTTTACTCTTCCAAAAAAAGTAATAAGAAGTGTGGGAGCAATAAAACCCAAAATGTGTAATAGTCATTGTACAAAAGAGAGGAAAAGAAAGTGCTCTAAACGATATAACTGCATGTATATTGAAGTGTGTAAAATAGACAATGATATTACTGAGTTTTTTTGGATCATTGAACAGAACTGTTTGGTCTCACTGTTTGAATGTCCACTGTATAAGCTTTAATTTTGTAACTTGAACAAATATTTCTAAGATGACAATATGTAATCCATTAACTAGTAATTTCCTGGTTTTTTTCTGAAATTCTGTATAAATTGTACCCTTTTTCTGCTTTTCTTTTTCTCCTTAAATAAAATTTTAAAAGAAGAAAAAAAATAGGAAAAAAAATCACAAAAATAAAGTATTGAATTTTTAACATTTATTGTTTATAAAAAAGCAAAAAAAAGTTATTTGAAATGTTAGCTATTAAGTTCTGAAACACATCATGCATGAGTAGGAATAAATCTCAAGTTTTCTATAACATAGCTAACAGCACAAAATCATGAAAATGTAACTTGTCAAGGACAGATTCTTTTTCCACTGCAAAAGTTAGTAACTTTGTTATTTTCCCTCTTTAAAAATAGATTCCTTCCAAAAAATGGAGCAATAATGGTATATACCACAGATACATGAAATATTTGTAGATATTTTAACTGACTTGGGCAAAACTGGAATATATAGTTTTGTTTCACACATCTAAGACCTGTAGATTTAAAATTACTAAAATGTTTACTTTGTTCACTCATAAAGTATTTAACAATTCAGATTACATGCACCTTTTACCTAGTTGGAGAAATACACATTCCTGTTTACACATTACAGCAATCAATTAAGCTGAAGATAAAAATCATTTTTTATAGATAAATGATCCACATCTCCATTAATTAGAACACTGGAAAGGATGTTTTATAAAATAAGGTATTTAATTTTGCTTGATTTTAGGATTAATTCACGCAGATAGCTATCCTGTGGGTTTAATAGTACACTGTCTCCTTTAAGAAAGAAAATGTGATGAGTGGATGATGGGTAGACTTAATGACCAAGGGGAAGTGAGATTAGAACCTACAGTTGACAATGAATATAAAGTTTTCTTCAAGGGTAAGCAATTTGCTCACTGGTGATAGCCAGATCCTAACAAGATTACCTGGTGGGCACCTATAATTAGATTGAGACCACTATGGTGATATATAACATATTCAGATGTTAATGCTTGATTCACAATTGTGAAGCAGCATCTGGTTCTAGTGTTAAGGATTAATTTTAGTGATCCTCAAGGTATTAAAACTTTGGGAAATTCAGAAATGTAGAGTTTAAAGACAGTATATAGGAAAAGGTGGAGTAGGTTTTGTTTATGAGTGTATCTGAAAACTGAAAATGAGCAGGATATCACGGTACAGTTGGGACAGTATTACTCCTTCATGTTTTGGCTATATTGTATAATGGAGCTTTTACCAAAGATGTATGAGAAGCATAAGGATATTAAAAACTGTTCAAAGTAAAACTCAGCTTTCAAAGCAGATGAGAAAAGGTGCTATGTTGTAGGCTCCTGGCATAGAAGGGTTTTTAAAATTCAAATGCAACTAAAGTATAAAGTTCTCAGTTTCACTTTAATAGAAGTATCTATAGAAATGAGACTGATAAATCCATTTAAGAGAATTTTGGTTGATTTTTAAAATTACCAAAGCTCTACCATAAATATTATTGTTGGTGTTTTAAATGATTACATTTTAAGGTACATAAACACAGGTTGTACAAATATCAAGGCTATCGTAACATCCTGAAACAAGTACAAAAAGTATAAATGCCTCAACTGGAATAAACCTGAAACCCTCACGTTAATTCTTAAATGTAGTATTTCTAACTTGTGACAGACAGACAGGTAGAAAGCCATTTTTTTGTGTCTTAAAAATAACTGGGGGACATAGTTAAAATTTTATATGTCAAGTGATTGCTATTATTGAATGCTGCAGGTGAGGTGTGGTTTATATTTTAGTTTATTTGAAATATCTGACAAAAGAGCATGGGGGGAGCAAATATTTGAAATTCAGAAAATCCTAAATCAACCTTTTGGAAAGAAATTGTAACTCTCAGATTTTCTTAAGGGCACAAAAGATTTATAATTGATACAGTTAAACTGAACCATAACAGTTGGTGATGGTGGAGTAGGTAATTACAGCCTGCAAAAAAGTTATAATCTAAGAATTGAAAAAATAAGAAAATCGGGTTTTTGTTCAACTGTATCAATTTCTGTATTTTTGTGAAATTTTAAAATGTGCTAAGTTTTGAATGGGTTAATCTTGTCTAATGTAAGTAAATGAGTCTGTAGACTATAATCTTCCCAAACTAAAAAGTACAGTACCTGGAACTGTGTTCTTTATGGTTGTAGTACTGGTAAAGCACTAATATACAGAAAATAAAGGAATTATACAGTGCAAAATAAATAAATAAATAAAAGCTCAGTAAAAGTTTCTAATCTATTCTGCTACTATCACTGGGTACAAAAACCATTAAGTCAAAATTAGAATCACACAAAAGTAATTTAAAGGAACATTCATTGTTCATTTAAGGAACATAACAGAAGCAAATATGGTATGATTCATAATTACAACTTACTCTAGATTTTCAGATGCTGCCCAGCATGTGGTCCAGGCATAGGAAAGCTTCAGTCTACACCATCAGCCTCTGCTTTAACTCTCAGGCATGGGCACATGGGGTGTAGAAGAATCCCCTTCATTCTGGCTGGCTTCTAGTGTTACTGCTCAAAGGGCCTTCCTGAATCCTTGTACTGATTACAGTGAATCCCTGGCCTAAGGCTACTTTGCTTCTGCTGGAAGGCTAACTGCTAATGTTCTCACAGACTGTGACCAGTAAGACGCAAAAGTTCCCTCAGCAAAAGCAGAGGCCAAGGGGCTGGGGATTTAGCTCAGCGGCATAAGCGCCTGCCTTGCAAGCAGGCAGTCGTGAGTTCAATCCCTGGTACCGATAAAAAGGAAAAAGGCAAAAAAAAAAAAAAAAAAAAGGAGAGGCCAAGCATTAGCCAACCCTCAGCACGACACTAGTTACTAGAGACGAGCACCAACTCAGGGAGACTGTGGGCTGCTGAAGAGGGAGCCCGTGGAAAAAGGCTATGCCTTCCTGTTGCTCTACAACCTCACATAGGTAGGAAGTAACCGTTTAGGGCCTGTAAGTTTGGTGAATGGTCCTTGGACTATGCAGAACATAGATGCAGATGCAGGAAGAAAATGCTCCCTTCTCCCTCTGTGGAGCAATAACTCAAACAATGTATTTCCTGCAAGCACCCATGAAAACCAGGTTCTGTGCATTTGAAACGTGAGAGCAAAGCAGGTCTCTGTAACTTTTTTTTTTTTTTTTTTTTTTTTGTCATTTTGAGACAGTTCAGGCTGGCCTTGAGCTCAATTGTAGCCCAGGCTGGTCTTGAACTTGCAACAATCCTCCTGCCTCAGCCTTCCGAGTACTGCGATTACAGGCGTGAGTCACCACACCCGGCAGTCTCTGTAACTTCTAATAGGACATTTTCTGAAAATTCAGACCTGGGATAAGGGCTCTGCTGCTGTTCAAGAAACAATCAAATTGTTTTATCTTAAATAACCAACTGAGTTTCTGCACTATTTACTTTTTAAAAATTAGTGAATTTGTTACAAAGTGTAACACAATCCAGTGAATTAACTATGATTCAAAATTGGCACATGACATTCAATAGTCCCTTATTATCAAACAAAAGTGAGAAGCAATATACACTGGTATATGCTCTCCTTGATGTGCCCAGTAGGAACAGTAACACAGAAAACTTACAATAAATGCCAGCTGGGCATGATGGTGCATGCCTAAATCCCAACATTCAGGATGCTGAGGCAGAAGGATCAAGAGTTGAGGACAGCCTAAACTACATAGTAAGTTTAAGGCCAGCCTGAACTACACAGCAAGACCCTGTCTCAAAAAAAAGTCAATCTGTCAGAAAAAGACCACAATCTCCTCCTCAGAGCCAAACAGCAAAAAGAAACAGTTACTCAAGAATTCACTGAATAAAGCAGTGGTACATGCCTATCATTCCCGCCCTCAGGAGGCTGAGAAAAGAGAATTAAAAATTTGGGGCCAGCCTAGGCCAATTTAGTGTACCCCTGTGTCCAAATTTAAAATACAACAAAACTTAGCACTCAGAGGCTGAGGCAAAAGGATCACTGCTAGTTTGAGATCAACCTTGGCTACACAGTGAGATCAAGGCTAGCCTAGACTATGTAAGTGAGGCCCTGTCTCAAAAACAAGATGAAAGGATTGGAGCACAGCTCAGTAGCAGGGCACTTGCCTAGCATGTGCAAGACCTGGAACAGCATATGTGCAGGTTCAATCATATTTTAAAAACATCAGTTAGTTTCAATGAATTCCGCACAGATCAGACTTTTCTGAAGGAAGGAAAGTGATGGGTGTGGACAGGAAGCTTGAGTGTATCTCTAACAGCTCACTTCCTTTCCCTTGACGTCTTGAGGGGCTAGCCCTGAAATGAGAAAATCTATGAAACTCTGCCAGCATTCTTTTTATTAGGGTAATAAAGGTTGTGTTTGAAGGGCAGCAGTGGGTGAGAGCTCACAGCCCTGAAACAGCACTCTGACTACTTACAGGAGTTATGCCGACGACGGAAGCTTTTGGACTGACTCAAGGGCTCCATGTGCCTGTCGACATAGCTCTTGGAGCACTGCTGCTGATGGGGAGAAACGGCAACATCCTGGCTCTTCACATCTGTCCTCTTAGGGATGTTCTGAGGGGCACTGCTGGAAGACGTCGGCTTCTTGATCAACTTGCCTGTGCCATTCTGATTGATACCCACTTGGTACCCAACAGCAGAGGGACCTAATTCTGTCTGATGAGGGTCTCCAAAATGGTGGCTGTCTCCAGGACCTGGGATCTCCAGTATTTTTAGTTCTGTGATATCACCTGCCCTGAAATACATAAAGAGTCCAAGACTTAAAATTGCAATTACGAAAAAGATGAAACTAGGGTTAACAGCAAACATTTACCCCTTTGCAGAACTGCATTTCAGTGAGTTATAAGAGGCAAAAACCATGAATGGTGGTAGAGCACTTAAAGAGAGAGCTTAGACAGCTATCCCAAAAATAGCAGGATATAGTTCAGTAATCATCCTTAATTTCCTAATAACTTAATCTGAAGCCCTATATAACTTACACTGTTTTACAATGACTGATCTTAGTTGAATCTGGTTTGTTAGATTGCTGTTTGGTATCGACAGATTTTATTCAAAACTGTTACGATTGACAGTATCAAGTCTGAGAGTATAGGCAACTACACTAAAAATGACAAGATTCACTAGGATACCCATTCTCGTTTGATTATTACCTGTTTTTGAAGTTTTACACTATGTACAATGTTTTGTTTTTATTAATAGTTATATACTGCTATATTCAATTATACTATGCCTGATGATATAGACAATTCTATTGAAGATAACAAGAGACAACATAGTAACCATTGTAGAACACCTTGTACTGTGATTTTATATGACTCTTTCGTTTCATGTTTTTGTAGGAATATGTTTTGTTTTGTCTTGTTTTGTTTTGTTTCTCCCTCAAACATAGAAAGGACAGAAACTTTCTATACATGTAGACTCATGCATGCGTAAACCTATAAACAGTTTAAGAGAACTGATCATATAACACATGATGAAATGAACAACTACTTTGAGGAAAAAGAGACACTATAGTACCCACTGCTGACCCCATAATGTCATGGTGTGATATTCAGCAATACTATTATTCTTTTTTTAGTCTGCTTTGTTTTGTTTAATTTTAACATACATGAAGATATGGATAACTGCATATATGTTTAAGTGTATAGGACTGATAACCATATTACTAAATTTTTGCTGGATCGTTGTACAGAACTGTTAGCAGTCTCGCTGTTTGAATGTCCTTTTTGTATGCTTCACTTTTGTAACTTGAACAACTATTTGTAAGAGGACAATATGTAATTATCAACTAGTTACTTCTCACTGTTTATTTCTTTTTGAAATTATGTATTATTTCTACCCTTTTTGTTTTTTCTTTCTTTAAATAAAAAAAAAAAAAAGAGTTTAATCAAGCCTTCGACTCACACAGCACTGATCTTAAAATTGTTGGGGCTGGGGATTTAGCTCAGTGGCATAAGCACCTGTCTTGGAAGCGCACTGTCGTGAGTTCGATCCCGGTACCGATTTTTAAAAAAAGACTACTGTTAATAACAAGGCTACATTATCACCTTACATTTCCAGAATCTCTAATGGCTTTATTTTTCCAGTCATTCACTTACCTGGCTCAATCAACATGCATAAAGAGAGTACATACTTTGGGGAAAAAACCTTGAGCTAAGAACAGAATACACAGAGATAAAAATCAGTATGTGTTCACAAGAAACTCAGTCTGGCTAGCAGAAAAGACAAGCACATAATCAACCAGATATTAAATGCTACAACAGATATGAGCAAAGGTCCTAGAGAGCCTAAAAGTAAAATTCCTAACCTAATTAGATAGACTCAACATGTAAGCGAAGTCTAAGGTGGGGGGCAGGGGGACAACAGCTGGCCAAGTGGATGATGGTAGAGAGAAGAGTAACTATAAGCAGAGGCTCTGAGATTGAGAAAACATGAACATTTGAGGACATGCTCAACATTTGAGGAAATGCTACTGTGCTATGAAGGGAAGGAAGCTTGTAAAAGGCCATCAGGAGCTGAGAGTTCAGAGGTAACCGTGGGGTAGATTCTGGGCATGATGGATTTTTCTTGTGGTACTAGGAAATGTGGAGAAATTAGAAGCAGAGGCCACCATTCAGGAGACCAGGAAAGAGGAGACAGATCAGGCAAATGACAATGCAAAGGGAGGAGGGAGGATGAGCCACATGACATCGCAATTAACTGAAATTAATTAAAGAAACAATTTTTATGATTCCTAAATTCCAAACTTGGGTAAAGTCACCAATAATGGGTAGACCTCTGGAAGAAGAAATCTGAAAACTCTGAATTTAAGATATCCTGTAGAATATCCAACTGGAAGGGGCTGGGGATTTAGCTCAGCAGCATAAGCGCCTGCCTTGCAAGCAGGCAGTCGTGAGTTCGATCCCCGGTACCAATAAAAAGGAAAAAGACAAAAAAAAAAAAAAAATCCAACTGGAAATTACCAGGAGACATAAAAGCACATAGAACTCAGACAATGATTAAACTGAAGATAAAAATGTAGGTCACACTAATGTACAAGAAGGTACACACGAAACTGAACTAATTCAGAAAGATGATAACATTAGAAAAAAGGTAAAAGAGACTAGAGAATGAAGCCACAAAAGAGCTGAAGGCAGACTTGTTTTGCTGACAGGAACTGTGGCCACAAAGCTAAGAGAAATGACAGAGGCCTACCTAATGCGAAAGCAAGATGAGGGAGGGGTTTTTCACAAGGGAAGCCTGGGAAGGTTAGAGTGCAGAAAGGCAATAGGAAGACTGAAGAAACAAAGGATTGAAGAGGTATCCAAGGAGGTAGACAAGGACAGCATTTAAAACATCCATGGACACAGGAATACATCCAGAGGCTGCAGAGTAGGTCAGGAATGAGTATGCCCATGAAAAAGTTACAGTGGGTGTGCACATGGAGGGCAATGCTTCTAACAATCAAAGCAGCTCCTGCCTAACAGCCTTTCTGTTTGCATGTTAGGAAGGGGGGCTATCTGCTGAATGCACTGCCACATAGCTGTAATAGTTACACAAGTAAGCAGGTCACAGATTCAAGCCCAACATGGGCAACTCAGTGAGATACTGTCTGAAAAATTAAAAAGGGGAAAGGATACAGCTCAGTAATAGAAAGCCCCTGAGCTCTAACCTCAGTACTGCAAGGAAAAAAAGTGAACTTGAAATCAATTGGCAGATACTAAGAAAAAGACTCTTGGGCACACAGAAAAAACAAACAAAAGACTCTTGAAACTAAGGATTTTAGTTACTGGCTATAGTGTATTTATAGGAATAAATTTTATTATGTACACATCTACAAAGACAGACACATTTATACAGATAAAAAAAAACTAATAAGAACTTTCACAAATAAAACAGAACTGAACAATAAAATGAAAACTATAGATGAATGCTTATGTTAAAGCATGTAAAAGTATATACTTGATCTGGAGGTAAGAGCAGGTTTACAGTAGAGCATGGTGGCACAGGCCTGCTACTGGGGAAGCTAAAGAAGATGCTTCATAAGTTCAAGGCCAACACTGCCAAGTTAGCAAGATCCAATTTTAAAAATTTCTAAAACTGTTGGGGGTATAGCTCAGTGGTAAAGCACCCTGAGTTCAATTTCCAGCAAAATGAAAACAAGTTTTACAAACCCTGAGTTCTCAGCTGAAAGCTAATCACAATACGAGGTCTCTATTGCTCTGATTTAAGACTAAATTCTGAAAACTCTCACACGTGACAAGACTATACTCAAAAGCAGCTTCAACCAAGAAAATCAGACCTCTTGAAGCACCACTGACCATCAGGTTTGATTTAGAGGAGTAAGAACCCTCACCTAGGGGCTGGGGATTTAGCTCAGTAGCATAAGTGCCTGCCTGGCAATTGAGAGGTGGTAAATTCGATCCCCGGTACAAAAAAAAAAAAAAACTAACTCTCACCTGAAGGTGACTTCGGGCACAAGACACTTCACTCCATTGTGGAAAGGCCGGGTGAGGGAAATAGTCTGGCTGACCTGGTCTACCGCTGACACTCTTCCTTGGTAGACACCCAAGCTGTCTCCACAGTTAATGGACACGATACTGCCCAGCCAATCTGTAGCCATGTTTCAGATGTGAGACCACTGTGACAAGCGGGAACCACACAGTGCACCCTGAAGAACAGGTATCTACAATTAAATTCAGAAAACATTATGTCAAATACTGTACCAGGTGTTGCTTAATAATACATATTCTATCACATCCTTAACTGAGGTAATAAAGCATTTAAAAAAACTTGCTCATCAATATGCATATCAATAAGCAATATTACTTAACAACAAAGATTTTGTCATGCTTTGACACTAATTAAAGGTGACACTGACCAACTGGGAATAGTGGTTACTGGGAAGGCTAAAGCAGGAGGATTTCAAATTCAATACCAGCCAAGGTGATTTAGTAAGATCCTATCTCAAATTAAAAAACAGAAAGGACCGGGGATGTAACTCAATGCTATCAAAGAGAATGTGTGGTCAATAAATAACATAACGATAAATTATGAACCAAAAAAAGACGTCAATTGAAGACATTGTAAAACATGACACCTAACAACTTCAGAATACACCCTTTTATAGTTCATGTAGAATATTTAATAACAATAGAATATTTAATAACAAAAAAATATTTAACAACATATATGGGGGCCCTTAAACAAGCGTGAATAAATTTTAAGGAACCAAAATCACAGAGTGTATTCTCTGTTAACAGATTTGAAACTAGAGTTTGGCACAGTGGTGCACACCTATAATCCCAGCAATTCAGAAGGATTGAAAATTTAAGGTCAGCCTGGATAGTTTAACAAGTCCTTGTCTCAGAATTAAAAATAAAAAGGGCAGGAGGTACAGCTCAGTGATAAAGCACTTGGGTTCTATCCCAAGTGCTGAAAATGATCCTAGCAACTGACAAGCCTCTGACAATACTTAATACCCACTTAGAATATAAAAAGCTTGGCCATAGGATGTAGCTCAGCCATGTAGCACCTATCTGGGAAGCACAAGGACCTGAGTTCCCTCCCTAGTAACAAAAACACACAAAAAACTCTGTCAGACACGTGCCTGTAATCCTAGCCCCTTGGGAGCTGAGGCAAAAGGCTCTCAAATCCAAGCCCAAGCTACACCTGGGCAATGTAGCCTGATTCTGTTTGAAAATTAAAAAATAAAGCGACTTGGGTAGTGGTAAAGTGCCGCTGGTGTGGTCCTCAGTACTACACACACACAAACACACACATAGGCCAGGCGTGATGGCACCTGTAATCTCAGCATAGCGAGGCTAAGACAGGAGGATTGCCACAAGTTCAAGGCCAGCCTGGGCTAGATTGTGAGTTCAAGACCAACCTAAACTACACAGTGAGATCGTGCCTCAAAAAACAAACACATACACACACCCCAAATCTCAGGAAAATGACAATAAAGGTGAATTTCCTCAATTTGATGAACAGTATATAAATATAACCTACAGTTAATATTATCCTTAATGGTAAAAGACTGAATGCTTTCTCTATAAGTTCAGAAACAGACCAAACATGTCCACTCTCATCATTTCTATTCAACACATCAATAGGTGTTCTTATAATGAGGCTATTTATAATAAATATACTAATTGAAAAAGAGAAAACAAAACTCTCTATTTGCAGATGACATGATTAATAATGAACAAATAGAGACTGAAATTTATTTTTTTAATTTTTTAAAGTCCATTTTATTTCAAAGGAAAAAAGAAAACAAAATTTCAGAACACGTCAATGAGGGGACAACAATGGTACACTGCACATTGTCATCCCCAAACCATTTACCCAGAGCAGAAGATATCTGCATTCAATTGTCTGAACAATACCAGCAATATAAAATATCAAATTCTAAAACCACTGGGAAAAAATGTGAAATCTTCGGATTTCAGGCCAGGCTCTCAGAGTTAAGAGGGTTTAACCTGACACCAATTTACAAAAAGAAAAAAGGACCAATTGTACTTAATGAAAATTAAAAATTTCTATTCTCCCAAAGTGTGTTAAAAGAATAGAAAGACTTGTAGAAAATGTATGCAAGATACAAACCTGGCAAAAATAGTATCTACAATAGACATAGAACTTTCAAAAAGTAGTGAAAAAAAAACAAGCAATCCTATCAGAAAATGGGCAGAATACATGGAAAATCATTTCACCAAAAAAGATATACAGATAACAAGTAAACATATTCTAAAATTTCAGCATCATTCACTGTTAAGGAACTGCAATTATTAAAACCACATCTTATACTTTTCAAAATGGCTAAAATAAAAAATAGTTATTGTTCCGACAATTGAAGGCAGATGTCTTGTGCTCTGGGTGAATGATCTGGGAAAACAATAAAAAATAAATAAAAATATTGACAGCATCAAGGGCCTACAAAAATATGAGAAAACTGCCTGTAATCCCAGCATTCAGGAGCCTCAGGCAGCAGGACTGCTGCAAGTTCAAAGCCACTCTGGGCCACAAAGTTAAGTTCAAAAAAGACCCAAAAAATGGGCTGAGGACTTAGCGGCATAAGCGCTTAGTAAATTCAATCCCCGGTACTGCAAAAAAAAAGACCAAAAAAGAAAAAGCTGAATTACTCATAAATTGCTAGGAAGGGAATTAAATGGTACAGGCAATCTGGAAAACAAATCAGCAGTTTATTTAAAAATCTAAACATGTATCTAATATATGACCAGACTGTGCTCCTGATCGTTTAATTCAAAGAAAGGAACACAAAAACCTGGGGTCAAATTTTGTATCATGCTTACTCATATTAGCCACAAACTGGAAAACAACTCACATGACCTTTAAAAAGAACACATTTACAAACTGGTATATCCATACTAGGAGAGGGAAAAGGGAAAAAATTATCTCCAGAGATTATATTCTATATATTACATTTATGTAACATTCTTGAAATGACAGTTATGGAAATGGACACGAGATCCATGGTTTCAGCAGTGAAGGAAATCTTGAGGTAAGCAAGCATTACATTTAAAGTGAAGAAGGCTGGCACATGCTTGTAATCCCAGCACTTGGAAGGCAGAGGCAGTAGAATTGCTCAGACTTGAAGCAGTCCTCCTTCAGTCTCTCAAGTGCAGGGATCACAGGCATGCATCACCATACCTAGCTACCATTCAGTTTTTGTTCTTTATTTGGGAGGGTAGGAGCCAAGAACCAAACTCAGGACCTCACACTTGCCAGGCACACACAGTACCACTGCACTAAATCCTTGGCCCCTACCATTCAGTTTTGGTAAAATATTTCATAAGTATAGTTCTATTTCAAGTATTTATTACATTTCTTTGTATTCATGGCTAAATCTGACCGTATTTCTGCAGTTGGTTATATAACAACAGGATTATGGAGTCTTTTTTTTTTAAATATGGTCTTGCTATTTACTGTTTAATTCTTTGTGAGAACACCTACATTTTTAAAAGCAATAATATAATTTCCACACTAAAACTGCAAAGTAATGTGTTAACCACCCCAACATAAAATCTTTCAAATTTCATTAAAGAAATTTCTGAATAGAATAATTGAGTGTAGTACTTGTCTTACTGTTCATCCATTAATTAGATATTACAAAAAGCAAAGAAAAAATTTTACCTTCCATAAAAACACAAGTTTTCTTAAAAAGTTCAAAACAGGGGCTGAGGATTTAGCTCAGCGGCATAAGCACCCGCCTTACAAGCGTGTGGTCGTGAGTTTGATCCCTGGTACCGGTAAAAAAAAAAAAAAAAAAAAAAACAGGCTCAAACAGAAAAGAGGCCAGGCATGGTGGCACATGGCATGGTGGTATGATTGGCACATGGTGGCAATCCTCTCAACAGGAAGATTACTCTAAATTTGAGGCCAGCCTGGCCTGCACAGTGAGTTCAAGGTCAGCCTGAACTATGGGAGGAGATCCTGTTTTTAGGGGGAAAAAAAAAGTACAAAAGAAGCAGGGTCGGGTGGTACACACCTATAATCTCAGCCCTTCAGAGGCAGAAGCAGGAGGACCACCATGAGTTTGAGGTCAACCTGAGCTATATAGTGAGATCCTGTCTCAGAAAACCAAAAAATAAAATAGTGTGAAAGAAGGGCTGTCGGTGATGATGAAAATGTCCATCTTGACAACAGCAATGTTGATATCCTAATGGTGATACTGTACTCTACTTGTACAAGACATTGTCAGTGGGGGAAGCTACACAGTATATATGCAATCCTTTTGTACTATTTCTTACAACTCCAGGCAAAACTCCAACTATGTCAAAATATTTAAAGTCTCTATTACATATTTAAAAACAGGAAATCTATGATTATGTTAGTAAGTGCAAGAAGGCAATTTAAAAATTTCAATACTAACTCATGATACTAAAAAGGTGAGAAAGGTTCAGCATTCACAAAACAATTACAGCTACCATCATACTTAATGATGAAAATAGAAACTGGGGATGAGGCAAGGGTGTCTGCTGTCACCACCTCTTCTATTCAACACACACTAGGCGTTCTACTCAATGCAAAAAAACAAGAAAAGGAAATGAAAAGCATAATTATTAAAACAGAAGTAAAACTATCATTGCAACATGACTGTAGAAAATCCTAAAGAATGTGCACGTGCGCGCGCACACACACACACACACACACAAATGCTTCTAAAGAAATTAGCAAAACCATTGTTGATCACCTTGTATTTTGTTTTTACCTTATGTATTATGTCCATCCTTTTGATTTGAGTCTGCTATGTCACATTTGGTTTTACTCTTTTCAAAAAAAAGTAATAAGAACTGTGGGAGTAATAAAACCCAACATGTATAATTGTCACTGTACAAGAGAGGAAAAGAAAATGCTCTAAAGGATATAAATGTATGTATAAGTGTATAAGATAGATAACCATATTACTGAGTTTTGTTGGAACATGGAACAGAACTGTTTGCAGTCTCACTGATTGAAAGTCCACTTTATATGCTTTAATTTTGTAACATGAACAACAATTTCTAAGACAGTATGTAATCTATTAACCAGTGATTTCCTACTGTTTATTTTTTCTGAAATTCTGTATAACTTGTACCCTTTTTCTGTTTTTTCCTTTTTCTCCTTAAATAAAATTTTAAAAAATACAAAAAAAAGAAATTAGCAAGATCACAGGCCACATGATTA